GCTCTGTGTCCCTCCAGCTCCCTGCTAATGCACCTGGGAAAGCAGCAGAAGATGCCCCAAGTGTTTGGGCCCCTGCCACCCATGTGGGAGACCCGGATGGAGTCCCTGGCACCTGGGTTCAGCCTGTCACAACCCTGACTGTTGGCAGCCATTTGGGGAGTGAATGGGTGGGTGGAAAATCTGTCTCTCTAACTCTCCTTTTCAAATACATCAATCAGTCTTTAAAATGAAAAGGAATGGCGTTGCATGGGCATGCATTATTCATTCACCAGTTACATACCAAGCACATGCTGGGCAGAGGGTGAATTCAGGCTGTAATCTAGAAAGGCATTGCTCAAGGAGCTGCCTGTGATGGGTCCATAGAAGAAGAAATCAGAGACCTGGAGGAGCAGCCCCAGGTGGCTCAGAGTGGGAGAGAAAGTGTGACCCACATTTCATTAGAATTTTTTCCGGCCAGCACCGTGGCTCAATAGGCTAATCCTCTGCCTGCGGCACCGGTACCCTGGGTTCTAGTCCCGGTCGGGGCACTATATTCTGTCCTGGTTGCCCCTCTTCCTGTGGCCTGGGAAGGCAGTGGAGGATGGCCCAAGTCCTTGAGCCCTGCACCCGAACAGGAGACCAGGAGAAGCACCTGGCTCTTGGCTTCAGATCAGTGCGGTGCGCCGGCTGCAGCAGCCATTGTGGGATGAACCAACGGTAAAGAAAGACCTTTCTCTCTGTCTCTCTCTCTCTCACTGTCCACTCTGCCTGTCAAAAAAAAAATAATTTTTTTTCCACCCCAGACTCTGTTCAAGAGTTTAACATGGACCAATTTAGTTAATCCTCACATGGGGACTGTGTTCTCTGGATTTTTACACAGCAGAAAACTGAGGCGTGGGGAAAGTTACTTGTTCCTGATGATACTGCAATGGAGGGACCCCCCTGGGATTTGCCAGCCAGGTGGCTGAGTCTGAAGCCAGTGCCCTAAACCAGGTGTTGAGTTCTTAAGAAGTTTAATTATAAAAAGCAGACCATGGATGAGATGTGGCCTTAGGTCATAGCCTGCCAGCCTCTGGCCCGGACCATCCACAGTGACTGGAAGATGTTAGTGCTAAATCAAAAGGCAACTGCAGGGACCCTAATTCCTGACCATCTTGTCCAGGTGGAGGTGTGAGGGTCAAACAGCAGGAGATACACACAGCCGGCCCTCTGAATCCACCTGTTCCATCAACTGAGGACGGACACTATGCAGAGAAAAAGTTACGTCTGTGCTGAATATGTTTGGGCTTCTGTTTCTTGTTTGTATTTCCCTAAACAGTACTTTGACACAGTATTTACATTGTATTTGGTATTCTAAGGACTCTAGAGATGATGGTTTCAAGCATACAACAGCACTTACATGGATTAGAGGAGAGAACTGAGCATCCTACTCCAGGGGGTCCTGGAACCAGTTCTCTGAGGGCACCCAGGGATAACCCAGGTCTCTAAGAAACAATGGAAAAACCAAAAGACACTCCCTCCCACCCCCACTCGGTGTATAACAAAAGAAGCCTGCAGACAAAAAAGTGAGAAATTACAAAACATTCCTACAAAAATTGCCTTTTGTCTTCAGAGCCATCTAGGATTGCATAGCAGACCCTGTGTGAATGTGGGAAGATCAAGTTCAGAAGCCTGGTTGGACTTGATTCATTTTGAAAATGGTTGGCCAGAGAAACTTCTCTGGCTTGGACCCTGGCTCACACTGGGCTCTTGGTTTCTTATGGGCAGGAAATCCATTTACTCCATGCCTGTGGCTGACAGGGATCCACCCTGGGGACTCAGAGCACAACAGGGCCAGGAGTGCACGGCCTCCATCCTGCAAGAGACCTGCAGTGTTGAAAATGAAGAGCTCATGGGGCTGGCACTGTGTTATAGTGGGTAAAGCCGCTACCTGCAGTGCCAGCATCCCAGATGGGCGACGGTTCAAGTCCCAGCTGCTCCATTTACAATCCAGCTCTCTGCTATGGCCTGGGAAAGCAGTAGAAGATGGCCCAAGTCCTTGGGCCCCTGCCCATGTGGGCGACCTGGAAGAAGCTCCTGGCTCCTGGCTTCGGATAGGTGCAGCTCCAGTTGTTATGGCCAATTGGGGAGTGAACCAGCAGATGGAAGACCTCTCTCTCTCTCTCTCTCTCTGCCTCTCCTTCTCTCTCTATGTAACTCTGACTTTCAAATAAATAAATCTTAAAAAAGAAAAAGAAAGGCTGGCGCCGTGGCTCAATAGGCTAATCCTCCACCTTGCGGCGCCGGCACACCGGGTTCTAGTCCCGGTCAGGGCGCCGGATTCTGTCCCAGTTGCCCCTCTTCCAGGCCAGCTCTCTGCTATGGCCAGGGAGTGCAGTGGAGGATGGCCCAAGTGCTTGGGCCCTGCACCCTGTGGGAGACCAGGATAAGTACCTGGCTCCTGCCATCGGATCAGCGCGGTGTGCCGGCTGCAGCGGCGGCCATTGGAGGGTGAACCAACGGCAAAGGAAGACCTTTCTCTCTCTGTCTCTCTCTCACTGCCCACTCTGCCTGTCAAAAAAAAAAAAGAAAGAAAGAAAGAAAAGAAAATGAAGAGCTTAAAAGGATTTCTGTGTCCAGGGCTGACCCAAGGACCACGTGACTGAGGCCATCCACAGCGGGCTCTTCTTCACTCTGCTTAGGGGCCCTGGGGCTCTGAGGGGCCTGTTGGCCACCATGTGGGCAGTGCAGGTCATTTCCATCATTGCTGGACAATGCTGTGCCACAGGAATTCCAAATATTGCTTCTGTCTATCTCTTCAAAGTTTGCCTACTAATCCTGTTGTATTTCTGTAAAAAAAAAATTAAAATAACCATTTACAAATATCAGAAAAGGGATTTCACTCTGTCCTGTTCTTCGCTTGCTCACTACAACTCCTCATCCATTTCTCCCCCATCAAATTAGGGAAAGGATTTTTTTTAAAAGATTAATTTATTTGAAAGTCAGAGTTACAGAGAGGTAGAGACAGAGAGAGAGGTCTTCCTGTTGCTCCCCCATTCACGGAGGAACGACACTAAACCCTGCGTTGTTCTTTTGTCTGCTCGGCCCTTCCTGGGTTTGCTGCTGGTTCTTCCCGGGTTGGCTGCCGTCCACCTCCGTGGAAGGGCGGTTCCCCCTGCCACTTTCCCCACTTCCACGGGGGAGCGGCACACCGCAGGCCGGCTCTCTCGGGGGCTGCTCAGAGGTTATTCGGATGTTCCCCTTAGATGTTCCTGGTGCATGTTGTCTGTCTCCTCCTTTATAGTCCTCTTCCACCAATCCCAACTCTGCTACCCACATGCCGAGTACGCTGCTCTCTTCCAATCAGGAGCAGGATCAGCTCCTGCAGGTTATTGGTCGAACTGGAGGCAGCTGTGTAGAAGTTGTTTACTCCTCTCCCAGTGCCATATTGTGGGAGAGCAGATGCATAGAATAAGTCTTAATTCCAGTAACTTAGTCTAGTCCGAGTTGCTCCCCACATCTTCCATTCTCTCATTCACTCCCCAGATGTCCACAAAAGCGGGAGCTGCACTGATCTGAAGCCAGGAGCCAGGAGCTTCTTCTGTGTCTCCCACACAGGTGCAGGGGCCCAAGGACTTGGGTCATCTTCTACTGCTTCCCCAGGCCATCACAGAGAGCTGAATCAGAAGTGGAGCAGCCAGGACTCGAAGCAGCACCCATATGGGATGCCGGCACTGCAGGCAGCGGCTTTACCAGCTACGCTACAGCGCCGGCCCCAAGAATACATTTTAATGCAAAAGGAATACCAAGTGCATTCATATTTTCCAGTCCCCTGTGTCATGGCATTCACCCTAAATTGTGGGATGCATTTGAGTGAAAGCTCCCCGGAGATCAGGTTGACAAGGATGACAAGGATGTGTGTGGGCGATAGGTACCCATTCAAAATGGAATATTATTTCATCGTAAAAACAATGAAGTCCTGTCTTTTCCAGTGGTGTGGATGGAAGTAGAGGGCATTGCATTAAGTGAACTAAGCCAGGCACACAAATGAATGTTCTCATTTGCAGAAGCTAAGGCAAATAGTGTAGAAGGAAGAGTTTATGATCACTACAGGCTAGGAAGGGTAGAGGTGAGGGGCCAGCACTGTGTCGTAGCCAGTAAAGCCACTGCCTGCGGCACTGGCATCCCATATGGGCGCTGGTTCAAGTCCCAGCTGCTCCACTTCTGATCCACCTCCCTGCTATGGCCTGGGAAAGCAATAGAAAATGGCCCAAGTCCTTGGGCCCCTGAACCTGCATGGGAGACCTGGAAGACTCTCCTGGCACCTGGTTTTGGATCGGTGCAGTTCCAGCCAGTACAGCCAATTGGGGAGTGAACCAGCTGATGGAAGATCTCTCTCTCTCTCTGCCTTTCCTCTCTCTGTGTAACTCTGACTTTCAAATAAATTAATTAATTTTTAAAAAAGGTAGAAGTTTGGGAACTGGAGATTGGACAGTGGGTACCAAAACGCAGCTACGTGGGAGGAATTGGTTCTAGCATTCTGTAGCACAGAGGGTGACTGTAGTCCACAACTGTTTATGATCTATTCCAAAATAACCAGAAGACAAGAATGCAAATGCTCCCAACACAGAGAAATGCTAATAGGGGTGAGGAGGGGCACATGGTAATGACCTCTTGATTATCACGCATTGTATATATGTATCACATTTTCTTACTGTAGCTCCTAAATATATACACACATATCAGTCTTTTTAAAAGAAAAATCATGTAACACATGATAGAGAATCCCAGTGGCCATGGGGCAGTCCAGCTGGGCCAGTGCTATTGAAGTTAAGGATGGAATGGGACTGAGAGTGGACAGGACAAGGATACACCCTAGGTTCCTAGGAAAGCACAGATCCCTGGGGAAGCTGCAGGGCATGGCTGCCAGGCTATCCTTTGCCTCTCCATCCTAGAGCAGAGATTTGGAATCTATGCTACACAGAGTTGCTTGAGCGCCTTGCCTGTTCAGAAGCCTAATTCTGTTTAATCCTTTCTTGCAGATTCGACTGAACAGCAGGGGGCTAATCTACTCAGTGGGCCTGCTCCTGGCCTCTGTCTTTGTCACGGTAGGTTTGCAGATCCCCTCCCCCCAATTCTGGAATGTACACATTCTTTTCTCCCCACTGCGTTCTTTGGACACCAAATGGGCTTGGCCTCTCCGTGCCTGGAGACAGTGGCCCTCCAGATGTCTCGTCTCCAGGCTGTTTCTTGTAGAAGAGAATCCTAGCAACCCACTAGGATGCCTTCTGCCTTGGAGCCAGCCTCCTGCCGGGTCCCAGGCACAAACTGTTTTGTCAAGAACAAAGAGGAGATCCCAGTTGTTGTGCAAGATGAGTCCTAAGAGTAGGCTTCATTTACTTGATTGTTCCAAGTGACTCCATCCCCATAAATCCAGGGACTCAACCAATCCCTCAGAGGCTTGAATGCATTTCATGGATGGTGAACTTCTGTGCTGGCCCACTTTGTTGGCCATCACATTGATTTGTGTAATTTAATCTTCCTACCCAACAGACGTGTCTAAACAGACTCATACAGGTGCATGGAGGTCTCCATCAGCATTCAACTCTGCTGTTGAGTTGTCACATTCATACGTATTGAAACCCAACATGGTTCTCCTTGATTTTCAAGGAGACGATCATTGACATTGGCCTGACGTGTTGTTCACATACAGGGGATTCAGTCGGGCAGGCAGGAAGCAGGAGAGATCAGGCAGGGTGAGACTCAAATGTACAGATTTTACCAAAGCAAATACCACCTTACACAGAAGTGAAAATCTGTAGAACTCATTCTTTCACTGTTTGGGTTTGGAGCAGTGACACTCACCCAACAGTGTGCTCCATGCTTGGTACATATTTTTCTTCTTTGCTGTTCGTGCTACCCTCATGAGGCAGCCGCAAATATCAGCCCCGGCCTACCAGTGTACAGCGAAGGCTCAGAGAAGTCATGGGACTCACAATGAACAGAAACATAAGCTAATGACGTCAGTATGCACTCCTTGCATCATTGTTTGATTGACAGGAGACCAGGCTAACTGCTAGCTGAGCCGACCACATAGGGTTGCTGATGGAAGAGCAGTAGGTTTGGGGAGGAAAAGCGATTGCAAGAATCGTGAGTCTGCACTGCCTGTTGGAGTTCCAAGAGGAGAGGCCAAGAAAGGCATTGCCTAAGTACGAGTCCGGATTCCAGAGAAGTGTCCAGGCTAGAGTCGCCAGAATGCAGGTGGCTGTTTAGAGCTCTGCATTGGATGACGTCACCTAGGGAATCCCGTGTGGACAGAAAATAAAGAAGAGGCTCAACTTCTGAGTCTTCCAGCATTTGGGGGTGATGCTGGGGCAGATAACATTCCTGAAGAACCCAGCGAGCACCAGCTACATGGCTAGGGAGAAGCCCAGACGTGCATGGCATCCTGGAAGCCACGTGTCACAGCCGTTTCACCATGGAGGGAGCCATGGTTGCGTCCAGTGAGACGAGTGCTGAGCGCTGACCGTTCTGCCAGGGTCAAGGGTCCTCAGTGCTCTTCAGCAGAGTGCTGTTTTTGTGAGTGATGGCAGAGGGTTGAGTGGAAAGAACCAACAGACAATAGAAGGGGAGATGGGAGGCCGCTATGTGCAGCTCTGTTCTCCGACTGAAAGCAACAGAAATCCAGAAAAGGTGTTTTCTTTTTTCAAGATAGACAGGAGAGAGAGTAGCATCCTCACATGCCAGTAGAATGATCCAAGGGCAGGCTGATGAGCGGGGTGGTGCAGATAAAAGAGAGTGAGTTGGTGGAAATATCCCCTGACATAGTGTGAGCTTTGGGATCCGGCTCATTCATGGACCTGGCCACGGGGAGTGGTGAGCGATGGTGTCACTGAATTGCAGATGGGTTACAGAGAGAGGGGGAGAGACAAAGGGAGAGAGATCTTCCATCTGCCGGTTCACTCCCCAAATGGCCAATATTGAAAGAAGTGGAGCAGCCAGGACTCGAATCAGCACCCATATGGGATGCCAGCGCTGCAGACAGTAGCTTAACCCACTGCACCACAGGGCCCGTCCCTGTATTCTATGATTTTAGGTCATTGAAATTCAGGTTAGAGCAGCCAGCTGTGGCTTGTGGGTGGGCACAAGGGGGCGTCTCAGGAGTGGGAGTGGGTGACTGGCTGAGGCAGGCAGGAGCACGAGGACTTGAGAGAAGAGGGGCAGTGCAGATCCTTCCTACAGGCCTTGAAATCACTAATAAAGGTGGCAGGAGTCCAGCAGGTGAGCGATGGGGTGAGCAGGCTTGCATGGTTCACTGCTAACGGGGGACAGAGTGTGACAGCCAGAAACCTTGAGGTTCCCAGTGCATTGCTTTTAGGGGAAGAGAAAGAGACCCTGGTTTGGATGCAGCAGAGGGGTGGCCGGGGGGGCCATCCCCTCGGCCCCAGGTGCAGCCACAGGAAGAGAGTACAGAGGCTTCGAGGAACAGCAGGGGGCGCATCCTCAGGTGAGAGCCAGGGTCTGTTGGGGGATGCGCAGGAGCCCTGAATGGATTGAGTCCTGCCCTTTCTCCTGCTTCCAGACAACCAGCGCCTGCTCGGGACCCACCAGGGGCAGCTGTTGCCCTGGGCCACCCCAGGCCCCGCAGTCGCTGCAGCCGCCTCCCAACGCCCGCTGACCCCTTCTTGTGTGTTGCAGGTGTTCGGCGTCCACCTGAACAGGTGGCAGCTGGACAAGAAGCTGGGCTGCGGGTGCCTCTTCCTGTACGGCGTGTTCCTGTGCTTCTCCATCATGACGGAATTCAATGTCTTCACCTTTGTGAACTTGCCCATGTGTGGCGACCACTGACCGCTGGGCCACCCACAGAGGCTGTTCCTCCTTTTCTGTGCAATACGAGACCCGGCCACACCCCGAGTCACACAGGCCCCACAGGGCCGTGGCGTCCGTCTCCCAAGCTGTCCACAGGCCTCGGCTCTTGTCCGGGTGACCCAGACCCTCTCCGCCCACTCCTGGGCTCCCCTTGTCTCCCTGGGTCCTGCCTCCCACCCTCTTGCCCGCCCACCTCTTCCTGCCTCCTCCCTGCGAAGACATCCAACACCCACGTGAATTTTCCAGCTCCGTTTCTGAACCGTGACTGAGATTCTAGAAAAACAAAAAACAAAAAACCACAAAACTGGCTGCTAACTGGCCCGAGCCAGGCACAACTTCTTAACAATCCCTCCTCCTTTTTTTTTTAAGTTATTTGCCGGAAGACGAACCTAATTTATGAGCTGAGACTGTTGAGGAAGTGGAGGAGGGGGGCTGTTGGTGCGCTGGTGATGGGGAATGCTTGGGATTGCATTCTGGGTAGATTGTGGGGTTACTGGCTGTGGGGGTCGTGTTGGGAGAGGGGGGAGGGTCCCCCCACCCCGGCTTCCTTTGCTTCCTGCCATCAAGAGCTCCTCTCCGGCTTCTTTCACTGGGCTCTGATGACTCAGTGACCTGAGGTTGCCCTGCAGGGCAGCCTTCTGGGATTGAGCCCCGGGAGTGGAGGAATGGGCTGAGTGAGGGAACAAAGGCGTGACCCTTTCTGCCCACGTCCCCCCATGGGGCCTTTCCCTAGAGAAGAACAATGCAAGGTGCCGGCAGAAGGAAGAAGACGGCTTCCACCTGTCCACTCTCGCCATCTCTCTCTCACTAGGTTCTCTCTAGTTTCTCAAGCAATAGTTCTAGCCTGCCTGAGGCCTCTGACAAGCTCCAGCCGTCCACCCGTGAGGTGCCAGGCAGCCAACGACAGAAGCTTCCCCAACGTGTGTTGTCCCTAGATGTGCTCTTGTTGCTTGGCGTTCGGGGGGGACAGGGAGCAGGCCCCCAGGCCTGCCCTGCCTTCCGGGCCGGAGTTTCAGACACTGGTTTCTTGGAAAATGGAGAGAAGCGAATTTTTGCACAGATGTTGTCAACAAGTCCCAATTTGCCACTTGGTATCGAGTACACTGGACCCTGACCGCTGGCTCTTGGGAAAACGTCCTTTCTGCTCAGGCCCTGCGGCCACGCTGGCCTGGCCCTGCCCTCCCTTCCTGGAGGGATGGCCAGGGAAGGAGCAAACAGAACTGACACCTTTGGAACCACAGAATGTGTTCAGCGCAGACTTCCTGGAGGGCATAAGTTATTGTAAACGTTTATATTTTGTTTTTTGGATTTTTTTTTTTTTTTTTGCCAACCACTGTTCAACAGCCCTGCTAGATTTTGTATGATGCTGAATTATTATGTAGATTAATTCCACCCAGTTGAGACACACCCATGCTTGGTACACTTGTATTTATTGAAAACTGTGGATTCTTGCCCCATGATGCCCCTTGCATTTACGTTAAGCACTGATCACTTATCATTCATGAGGTATGGTTCCCACCCTCCTTCCCGTCCCTTGTACACATTCTGGTATGAATTGTAAAAAATAACCTGCTCCACATGGGTCGGATGTTTGTGTCTGGGATGCGAAACCGAGGCCGGCATTTTAGCCGAGGGGGCACCTGCTCGGCCGAGGAACAGGAGAGAAATCACCGATTTGGGCTCTCAGAGCTAAGACACACTTACTGATTCTGTTGCACATTTTGCACTGGTTTATGGCGATTGTTTTCTCGGACGGATAGTGTAAAATAAACTTCTCTGTTCTGTATCCTTCCTGGAGCAGAGTGGGTTCCTCTCTCCACTGGAAATGTCCACTGGATGTGGGGAGAAGGCAAGGAAGGGTGCATGATGGTAGCCACCCTGTGGCCGGATGTTTGGGCTCTGGTGTTCTCGGTTGTTGGGGTGGGGGTAGAGGGGTGGAACGGCTGGTCTCTAGCTGGCAGATTGCCAGGATGAAGTGGCCAGTCCTGGCTCCCTCGAAATCCTGAAAGACCTTAAACCTGTCATCTGGTTGTTGTAGGGTGGTTGGCTGGTTTGTTTTCCCACTGAATTTGTGAAAATGTTACAGGTCTTTTGGATGGTAACTCTTTTCCTCTGTGGAGTTCTTGGTCTCGGGGACTTGAAGAATGAGGCACAGGAGCAATGGAGGGGGAGCAGGAAGGGAAGTGTATTCAGCCCTGGACAAAACAGAAGTGCAAGACAAAGCTCCCAGCAGCGCTGAGAGGGGTCCCAGAGGGGTGGCTGGAGGGGAGACGGTGTCTAAAGGGGTTGTATGCTTTCTAACTGGGGACCGTTCCCTGGTTGGTCAGGGGAGAGGCAAATAAGGCATTGAAAAGTAACTGGTTTTTATTGGTTCCTGAGAGATGTAAATAAGGGATTGAGAAGTGGCTGTTTTGATTGCTGATTTGGCTGCAAGTTAAGGCACCAATCACAGAAGTCAGTTGTTTTACTTCTCCAGACAGTGGGGCGAGCGCCCCCGCCCACGTCCCTGTTCGTCTGCCTCGCCAGGAATCTGTGTCATAGAATTCTAGAGGGCTACCGGTCCCAGACATTGTACCAGGAGCTCGTTCTTGGGGTGGACATGAGAGGAAAAGGGTGGCAGTGCAGATGGCGACACTCATGCAGTAACCAGGTCTCCATCTTGTCACATCAGGAAAACCGAGACCGCCTGAAGAGTAGCAACGTGCATGAGATGGGCCAGTCCATGCCCCAGAGTGGGTTTTGCAGATATTTGGTTTCAGAACACAGGGCAGAGTCATAAAACTCCACCAAAGATGTTACATGGTTTACTGTCGTTCCAGGGGCATTTATATCCTGAATAAAGTGCACTCCACAGTTCCCGCAATTTCAGAAGTTTTTACCGAACACCAGTTTAGCCAGCATTCTCGCCACAGTGTAGAGCTTTAAACACGCTATTCACAGTTGATAGTCGTTTGGTTTTTGGTCTTTGTTTTCTCAGCACAGAGGAAGGACAGGAAGACTTAAACTTGTAATGTTGGCATCTCTGCCATTGAAGGAATTTTCTCCTTGAGTTAATTTACAAACACGCATACACGTTTCTTCTGCACGTAACTTCTGATTTATCCTACTAACCAACAGCTGAACTTGGGTGATGTCACATCATCTGATTTACTGGGACAACTGATTCCGGAAAACTGTACTCAGAACGTGGGAAGAATTGTGCTGAGGCAGATCAGAATCCTTGCCCTAACTTTTGAGGCATGCCCACAGGTGGTTGCTAAAAACAGATTGACGGAGTGTGAAGGTGTTTTCAGCATACACTAGGATTTGTGAATTCCTGCAACCAAAGGAAAGAAATGCAGGTGCCACATCTCTCTTTTTAAGATGAGGCACAGGGGCCAGCACTGTGGCTCATTGGGTTAAAGCCCTGGCCTGAAGCACTGGCATCTCATATGGGTGCCACTTCCGATCCAGCTTCCGATCCAGCTCTCCGCTAGCCTGGGAAAGCAGCAGAACATGGCCCAAGTCCTTGGGACCCTGCACCCACGTGGGAGACCAGCAGAAGCTCCTGGCTCCTGGCTTCAGATTGGCGCAGCTCTGGCCATTGCGGCCATCCAACTGGGGAGTGAACCAGCAGATGGAAGACCTCTCTCTCTCTCTCTCTCTCTCTCTCTCTCTCTCTCTCCTCTCTTTATTTTATTGTTGAGTTTTTTTTTAAGATTTTATTTATTTGTTTGAAAGGCAGAGCAACAGAGAAGGAGAGACATATTTTTTCACTTAATTCTGGGCATCACCTGTAAGAAAAAAAAAAAAACCTGTTTGTAAAGTCTCGTCTCCTCCTCATTCTTACGAAGAACTTAGGGCTCCAAAGACTAAAGAATTAGTCATTTTATAGGACATATGGATTTTTTTTTTTTTTTTGAAGTCAGATAATGGAGAGAGAGAGATTCTATCTGCTGGTTCACTCCTCAAATGGCCACAACAGCCTGGCCAAAGCCAGGACTCAAGAATTCTTATGTGGGTCTCCCACATGGATGGCAGGGGCCCAAGGACTTGGGCCATCTTTTGCTGCTTTCCCAGACACATTAGGGAGCTGGATCGGAAGCAGAACAGCAGGTAGGCGTTAGCCTGTGCGTGTAGGAGCGGCCAAAGGACATGAGCATTTTTAAAGAAAATGAATATCTGCGTGATGGGATGAGCCACGGGCCCTGAAAGCAGAGCACCCCTGCACCTGCAGCCCCAGCTCTGGTTCAGTAACCCCTGTGGGAAGGGCTCAGTCTTCTCCCTGGGGGCCGTTCACAGGACTCCCCCTGCCCTGCACCAAGGAGGCCGTAAGGTAAGGTCTTGGCAGGATTTTCGGGAACTCCACAGCCAGAAATCTCCCCGCCCTCAACGTCCCAGAAGAGGGAGAAGGGGAGAAGAAACGGGGGACCCAGACTCAAACGGCCATAAATCCTCCAAGCCTGGGTTCTCAGCCCTGCACTGAGCCGCACACCGGGCCTATCAGGTGCATTAAACCTGCCTAGGGCGACAAGCACCTCGGAGCAGCCGCTCTCTGTGAACTAGCTGACCCGCTGCACCTGAACCTCCCTGCCAGCCACGGCTCGGAGGGCAAGCCAGGGATCCCTAACGGGTTCTGCGAGGCACGGAGCGGCGCACGGCCGCGAGGGCTGTCTAGCGCCCAGGTCCGTGACTTCGCGCCAAGAAGGGATTCAGAAACGAGCCGGAGAAGAGGGAGCAGCAAGCTTCTGCTGGGAGTTCCACTGCACCTCCTGTGGAGTTCACTTCCAGGTGGCCATCATGGAGTCTCCTTCCTGGTCCCCGATAAGGCAGAACTGCATCATGGGAGAGTGTGCCAACCAGATTGACAGGTAAGAGGGGTGGGGAAAGTGGGGGGTGGGGGTGGAATTAGGAATTATAGTGCAGAGCTGCCCAGAAATGATGAAAAAAAAAATGTTTTTTCCAGCTTTATTCCTATCTAACGCCTTTCCTCATTTCCCCAGATGGGACTCACATGGGCTATACCACCAGCTAGCTTGGAAACTCCTGAGCAGCACTGATAAAACAGGCCTATCTCCTCTCCCTTTTGACTTTGGGGACATAGTCCATGCTTTTTCTTCTTAAAGCCACAGGACACTTTTCCTTACTTGCCACATAAGAGATTTGTCCTTTGAAAACAACAGCAGGCTTAACCAAGAAAAGTCAATGCATGTAGCAAAAGGGAGCAGAGCATAGAATGGTTTGCGGGGTGGAGGGTTTTTGTCACAGCAATTTTTCATAATAAGCGTGGAGACAGGGCCCACGGTGGGATGGGATGGGGTGGGGAGGGTATATTTAAGCTGTTAATGCTGAAATGGTAACTGGGACTCAGCAGGATAGCGACAAGGTTTGAAGCCAGAAGTGAACACAGCCAGGAGGTGGAGGAGCAGAGGGTTCACTCCCTGGGGCACCAGAGGCTGGGATGATTTCTTGACCCCCAGGGGAGAAGCTGTGGTTGACTGTTCTGGTATAGGCATTGCCAAGGTCAATGGGTGAGCGGGAACGGAAGCCCGGCCTCCCGCAGCTTGAGTCGGAATACGTGGCCCAGACAATCTGAATTTTCCTTTCCCATGGACCTCCTGTTTCCTTTGCTCCACTCCCATCCCTGCCTTTCCCATTCTTCCTGCCAATCCAAATCCAAAACACAGCACCTGGGAATGGGTTTTATGTACTTCTTGCACACACACACGATGGGAGTGGACCTGTGTGATTCTGCCAGAGGCTGCGGTTGGCTGCAGGGTGGTGGGATGGGGCTCAGTCAGGAGTTGGGAGCCGTGCCTAGTACTCAGGGTGCATGAGACCAAGACTTCTGCAACCTGTTCCCACTTGGTCTTACCTAGGTAGGCCAAAAGGCCCAAGCAAGAGGGCGGGTGGTAGGGGCCAGGAACACTGTCTCTTTGAAACAGGAAGCTGGAGTCAGGGCGGGAGAGGAGCAGGTGCTTTGAAGATGGATGTGATGGTCGCTGTCTCAGCCTTGGGATGTCTGGAGGGCGAGTAGGACACACAGCATGAGAAACTGAAGTGTAGAGCTGCCTGTTTCCCACTCTGCTGGGTGCCAGGTGTTCCCCCAGCATCTTCAGCAGTCACGTGCCATGTTTTTGGAATCCACCAAGATGAGGGAGAACAGCAGGTGTGATTCCCTGAACATAAGCCTATGGGAGACAGCTCATAGGAGACCAGTTGGAAGCATCTGTCTTAGTCTATTTTCTGTTGCTAGGGACAAAGTACTGGAGATGTGGTCATTTTTGAAGAACATAGTTTTATGTGGCTCCTGGCTGGGAAGGGTACCAGCATGCTTAGCTTCTGGTGGGGGCCTTCCTGCTGCACAGGGCAAAGGGCGTGCCACGGTGGGACAGAGAGCTTCTAGCTCGTCTCCCTCTCACTCCTGTTAGGAAGCCACTGTACTCTCATGACCTCATCTAGTCCAGTGACCTCCCAAAGACCTCCCCTCCAAATACCAGTGACGTTCGAATCTGGAGATTAGGTTTCCAGCACAGGAACTTGTGGGAGACATATTCAAACCACAGCACTAAGTAGATGTCAATCCCAGTCTCTCCTGTCTCTGCCACAGTCCACAACCACGGGAGGCATCTGGCTCAAGGTTATCATCATTTTTTTTTAAGATTTATTTATTTGAGAGGCAGAGTCAGAGCCAGAGAGAGATCTCCCGTCCACTAGTTCACTCCCCAAATCGCTGCTACAGCCAGAGCTGTGCTGATCTGAAGCCAGGAGCTGGGAGCTTCTTCTAGGTCTCCCATGCTTGTACAG